TGCCGTCATTCCATACGTATTCTCCATTCGATTTCTATGTGCAATCCTTATTTCAATATTCCCCCCTCTCTCTTCTATCGTTGCAGTGCCCTGCCCACAGCACGTCCACGTTCCACGGAATCGGCGAATTCCAGCGAGCGCTGCCCTTCGCACGACTCCAATTCCTCGGACAACGGTGGCCAGCGGGACGCGGGGAACATGTCGGGGGGCGTGCTGCCGGTGGTGCCCACCACAATGCACTCAACATTCCCAGCGGTGCCGCAGTCGCTGACCGCCCAGCCCTCCTCGATGGAGGCCTACCTGCACATGGTAGCTGCCGCCGCGCAGCAATACGGCTTCCCGCTGGCGGCGGCCGCTGCGGCGGGTCCGCGGCTGCCGCTGCCGCTGCCCAGCGAGGCGGCGGCGCCATTCAAGCTGCCGCCACAAGCGTCGCCCACCGCCTCGAGCAGCAACTCGGAGGCGCTGGACTTTCGCACCAACCTGTATGCGCGCGCCGAGTCCGCGGAGCCAGTGGCCTCCGAGGAGGAGGAGGAGTTCGACGACAGCGCCAACAATCCGCTCGACCTGTCGGTGGGCACGCGCAAGCGCAGCCACGACGCTGAGAGTCCCGTTGGCCAGATTCAGGTGAAGAAGATGTTCAAGTCGGATAGCCCGCCCGCCAATGCGTCGCCAGCAGCGGCCGCAGCTCCACTGATGCCCGGCGTCAATCCCTACCTGGCCGCGGTGGCGGCGGCCAACATATTCCGGGCGGGGCAGTTCCCGGACTGGAATGGCAAGAACGACCTGGTGGTGGATCCGCTGGAGAAGATGTCGGACATTGTCAAGGGCGGGGCAGCTGGTGGCGGCTCCTCGGGGCTGCACAAGGAGAAGCAACAGAGCAAGGCGACGCCACCGGCAGCCGTTGCACCGCCGCCCAAGAGTCCCGCGAATCAAACGGGCTCGGGCAGCGGCAGCGGCTCCTCTGGCTCGAATAACACAGCCGGCGAGGGCGGCGGCGGCGGCGGTGGCAGTGGCGTGACCAAGGCGCGCCACAACATCTGGCAGTCGCACTGGCAGAACAAGGGCGTGGCCAGCTCGGTGTTCCGGTGCGTGTGGTGCAAGCAGAGCTTCCCCACACTCGAAGCGCTCACCACGCACATGAAGGACAGCAAGCACTGCGGCGTGAATGTGCCGCCCTTCGGCAACCTGCCCAGCAACCAGCCGCACCACCATTCCACTGGCTCGGGCCAGGCTGGCGGCCATCACCACCACCAGCAGCAGCACCACCATCAGCAGCAGCAGCAGCAGCACCAGCAGCAGTCGCAGCAGCAGCAGCAGCAGCAGCGCAAGCAGTCGGCCAGTCAGGCGCCCTCGGCGAACGTGAAGAACGCGTTCCAGTACCGCGGCGATCCGCCCACGCCGCTGCCCCGCAAGCTGGTGCGCGGCCAGAACGTGTGGCTGGGCAAGGGCGTGGAGCAGGCGATGCAGATACTCAAGTGCATGCGCTGCGGGGAGAGCTTCCGGTCGCTGGGCGAGATGACCAAGCACATGCAGGAGACGCAGCACTACACGAACATACTCTCGCAGGAGCAGAGCATCTCCATCAAGTCGGGCAACGCGAACAACGACCACGGCAAGGACAGCGGGCAGAACAGCCTCAGCTCGGAGGAGTCGCGCACCCTGTCCGCCGTGCTCACCTGCAAGGTGTGCGACAAGGCGTTCAGCTCGCTGGGCGACCTCAGCAACCACATGGCCAAGAACAATCACTACGCGGAGCCTCTGCTGCAGTCGGCGGGCGCTCGGAAGCGGCCGGCGCCCAAGAAGCGGGAGAAGTCGCTGCCGGTGCGCAAGCTGCTCGAGCTGAAGGCCAATCCCGAGGAGCAGCCACTGGAGAAGCCCAAGCCGGAGAAGTCCGAGGCGGCGCTCTTCGCGGAGCGCATGCGTCAGTATATAACGGGCGTGAAGTCGCCCGAGGAAATCGCCAAAGCCGCCCAGCTGCTGGCCAAGAACAAGTCGCCCGAGCTGGAGCAGAAGAACGGGGGAGCCAATGCGGGTGCGGGCAGCGCCTCCGGTGGCGCAGGCAAGGCAGCTGCCGGCTCCTCCTCGGTGCTGAGCGCCATCGAGCAAATGTTCACCACCAGCTTCGATACGCCGCCGCGGCACGCCAGCCTGCCGGCGAGCAGCCCCTCGAACTCGTCCACCAAGAACACCTCACCGGTGGCCAGCAGCATCCTGAAGCGGCTGGGCATCGACGAGACGGTGGACTACAACAAGCCGCTGATCGACACCAGCGATCCCTACTATCAGCACTATCGCTACACGAGCAGCGAGCGCAGCGGCAGCGAGTGCAGCGCCGAGGCTAGGCCGCGCTTGGAGGCGCCAACGCCAGAGAAGCAGCAGCCGTCGTCGCAGCAGCAGCAGCAGTCGACATCGACATCTCAGTCGCAGTCGCAGTCGCAGTCGCAGTCAGTGGATGTGCCCATTAAACAGGAGCCAGAGTCGAGCCTTAAAATGGAAATCAAGTCTGAGTTGAGCGATGAGCCGCAGGATCTGGCCGCTGCTTCGCCTAAAATAGAAGCCGAGACGCCGTTGCTGAATGGCAACTGCAACAACAACAACAACAACAACAACAACAACAACAACAACAATAGCAGCAGCAACAACAACAACAATGGCAACTCACCCAAATCATCATCCGCTGCCGGCAGTCCGCAGTCGTCGCGTCTGCCGCTGCCGCCGCGCAGCCCAGCGGACAGCCAGCGCTCGGCCACGCCCAAATCGCCCGCCTCCAGCCACAAGTCGTACGACGGCGGCAGCGACAGCAACGCCAAGAAGTATCCCAGCGACTCGCTGAACGCCCTCTCCTCCATGTTCGATTCGCTCGGCAGCAGCGGCGCCGGCGGCGCCAGCGGCGCAGCCAATACGCGCGCCAAGCTGGCAGCGGCGGCGGCAGCGGCAGCAGCCGCTCAAGCCGGAGGCGATGCATCCGCGCCGGAGAACCTGAGCGCCAGCAACTCGCTGGCGGCGCTGCGCCAGTTCTGCGTGAAGAAAGAGAAGACCGCCTAAAGCGTGGGCACGCCAAGAATTTGCCACCGAAAATATTTTTTCGTTGTTTCGAACAAAATCAAGATTTTTTGTCAACCTTTTTGTTTGCCGCGCTTGGCCAGCCGCGGCGCCTCCCCTAGTCGGAGGCGTGGCGCGGCGGCAAGGTCAAGCGAGACTCTTCTTTGTACGCACTCAGCGAAGACCACAAATCAAGCCACACACACACACATATATATATATATATATAACTATATATGTATGCATATATACAGTCCATCACACGTATACATATATATATATATATATGTATATATTGCGAGATCGAAAGGACATTTCGACAAATCGCAGCGCGACGCGGCAGCGGCACAGACAGCCCCAGCCTGCCGCCCATCGAGCGCGCCACGCCCACGCAGCTTAGTCGAGAAATTAAGCCAACTTTTTCAAGGTAATTATCATTGGCATTGGTCATTATCATTGCTATAAATGTTGTATTTCTATGTATTTATATCTAAATCTTTCTCTCTCTCTCTCTCTCTCTCTCTCTCTGCTTGCAGAATCGTTTTCATCTGCGCCTCGTGACATCCTTGAAGGACTGCGGCACCTGTTTTGCTGCTGTGGGCGTGTTTCTCTATCTCTCTTTCTTTAATTGGCCCCATTGCCCAAGAATCAATTGAAATTTATGATGAAAATGTTTAAAATGTAATGAAAACGTGCAAGGAAAAGCCCTTGTCAGGGCTGCCAAATTCCTGGGCAAAGAGAATGAAATTGGAAAAAATAAGAAAAAATGAATCATTGTGATCAAAATAAACCGACTTTTATTGAATTTATAAAAATGGAAATCTTCTATTCATTTAAGGGTGGCTTTTGGTATTTATAGTGAAAATAAATTCGAATAGAGCTGCGATCTAAAAATTAAAGAGATCGAAGAAAAAACTTAGCAGAAAATAAATTGAAATTTAATTGATATAGAAAACTGAAAACAGGTATTTAGTATTTTACAATCTTTTTTTAATATTGAAAGAAAAATTTTAATTGAAAAAAACTTTTTTTCATATTGTTCTGAAACATTTTTATATTCAGTTTATTTCTCTTAGAAAAGGCATTCTCAAATGATTAGAGATTGGAGTAAATAATAGATTGATCTGCTATCAAATAAAGGATAAGGAACTTCGGAGGATGAAAATGCTTAGAATAGTTCTGAAAGAGTTGGAGTTAATTGACTGCAAATAATTTAGTAACACAAAACATAAGGTGTATTAAATTAAAACATTATATCTTTAAGAGAGAAAGAAGTAAATACTGATATATTTTCTAGGAACTATTAAAGTAAATATATATTAGACTTTCTCCAGGAAATATAAAATGAATTATATATATATCTGACTATGTGAATGAATAATACAATTAATTATATATATACATACATATCAATTATATAGCTGACTTCTCAATCTCTTCTCTCTGTATATTGAGTTGTTTTCATCCATTTGCACCAGCTCTGCAGTAGTTTCAGCAACCCCTAAATTTTTGACCTTTTCAGAGGAGAAAAGATGGCAGCGGTAAAAAAAAACATGGCAACTTAAGTACCATGACTTGTTTATCATGAATCATGACTTATATTTAAAAGAACATTAAGAGCAATACAATATAGATGTGTGTACAAAACAGCTACAGAAATACGGTAAAAATTCTAGAATATTTCAACAAAAGATTTAGTCTATTATTCGCACTACTTAACAATGTATTCCCTATATTTTAACCAATGAAAATCTTTTGAAATGGGGAAATTAAAGGAAGCTAAGAAAAAGAGCTTCTTCACGTTCGACTATTATTCACAGAGCAAGAATGAGTGCAGGTTAATAGGCGGGAATCATAGGTAAGGAACTACATTTACAGTTGAGAGTGGAGCACTTAATCCTAGTTGCGCCTTCTTGCGCCCCCTTTGATGGGCTTCTTCTCCTTCTCCACGGGTCGCTTGCCGCTCAGGAGCGAGGTGAGCATATCACTGAGATCGGGCACACCTGTGGGTATCTTGGGGAACTGAATGTTCTCGATCTCGCGCTTGGTTTCCGGGTCGTTGATGAGACGTGGCAGCAGCAGCATCAGGATGAGCGGCACCACCATCAGCAGCACCATTGGATTCAGCATGTAGTCCAGTATGTTCCACTGCTCCCGGATGCGGAAGTAACTGCGCGGCATGCCCGGCTCCAGCATCAGCGGATAGGGCAGCTTCACGACCTGCGACGGCCGCAGGTGGCTCAGCTTGCGTGCCCGAAACTTGCCATTGTGGGTAATATCGACGCGAACGGGCGGAAAGAATATGTCCGCGTGGTGGACGTACAGCACATGGCTGCCCGAGGGCACGCCGCTAATCCGGAAGCTGCCATCGGCCTGCACGAAGCCCAGATACTCGCCGCCGTTGAGCGCGAGGCTTATGTCGGCCGGCCAGCGCTCGGGGACGCTCACTGCTGGATTGAGCGGGTGGATCCTGCCCTCGATTGAGTAGAGAGCAGGGCCAGTAGCAGCAGCAGGAGCAGCAGCGACTTGCTTCGAATGCTCCACGGGCAGCGCATTGCTGGCGAGTGTGGAGACCATCAGAATAATTACAAATTTGTTCAACATTTTCGACATGTTTTCTAAAACGAATTGTGTGAGTCAGAAGGGATGATCTGCCTACAACTAAACTTGGGATTTATGAATATATAAAAGTAAAAACTCTCGAGATTTCAAAGTTTTTGACAGAAATGTATATGGATGGATGTCAACTAATGAAGTCCGATTAGATTTGAATCTTTAGCACTTTCATGACTCGACGACTTTAATTTATTTGTTTCAATGAACTCTGATATGTGGGACACTCTCAGCTGAACTCTGGCAAAATTTGTTAGTCATAAAAAAAACTCTTGATATTTTTACGACTGATTGACTGATGGACTGACTCAGTGACTTACTGATAGGGCATTGCCTAAACTGAATCATAAATGAATGCTAGAGTAAAGGCACTTCGATTAGGGGGTCAAAGTTTGCATCAGCTTGGCCACATTTTTATATGAAAATTCTGTGAGTTGTTTATGAGAGAAAAAATCAAATTATTTGACGTTGGCCAGAGAGAGTTAGCTCTACTTTAGTCTATAGTATATTTAACTTGTATTTATCATTAAATATATATCAATGCTAAAAGTTATATATAGTAAATTTAGATCATAGGCTTCGACTTCATTTGCATTCTTCAGACTTCACTTGCCACACTAAAATTTAAAATGATTATTCTGCAGCTCCATCTTGTTGCAACTCATTAATATGTATGCTCTGCCTGAGTCATTTGAATGACTGCCACGCCCACGCTCAATTAGAGCAGTCTCCGGCCAGCAGGCCGTCGCCTGCCCGACACGATCGTGACCAATGTGACTTGTGTTTGCTGATCATCGGCACATGTGAGGCTGAGGCCGCAGCAGAGGCCGATCCTCGCTGCACGGCGAGTGGCAGCCAAAGTAGCTGCCACAAATTTGCACTCGACTGCAACGTTCTCTGCTGCATGCGACGCGCTGTCGCTTCTGTGCCGCGCAGCCACAAATCCAAACCGAAATTGCCTCAACGCGCGCTCTACACGATTATGCGATAATTTCGATTTGCCAACTTGCAGCTTGCTGCTTGCAACTTGCAACATGTGCAATCAGTTGCTGTA